GAGGGCGCGGCGTGGCGAGGCGTGGGAGTGAGACACCCATACTGACCTCGCACTGCTCGCACATGACGGTGGCCTCGGCGGGGTCGCCCTCGCAGAGCTGGCACTGGATGATGAGCTGGCGCGCCTCGCAGTACTTGTCCACGATGCTCTGCATGGCCCGGTACTTGGGCAGGTTGTGCGCGCCGTTCTCGTCGAAGTACACCATCTTGCTGCAGACGGGGCAGGCGAGCGAGAGCGCCGTGGTGGTGGCCAGCGGCGGGTAGATGAGGTTGCTGGGCGTGCCGACGTAGCTGTTGGGCCTGCTGGTGCACACCACGCCGCTGTCCGTCTCGCTCAGGATGGACAGCTTGTCCATCTCCTGGAGGCAGTCGCTGCCCGCGACGCTGCCCGCCACGCTGCCGGCCACGCTGCCGGCCACGCTGCCGCTGGCCGAGGCGCCGCTGCTGGCGCTGCTGGCCTCGGCCGAGGACGCCGACGAGGCGGTGGAGCAGGCCGTGGCGACATTGTCGCCGCTGTTCTCGCTGCTGGTGCTGCTGCCGCTGGAGGGCGGCGCCGACGCGAGCAGCGAGGGCGGCGGCGGGGGCAGCGCGGCCGCGGCGCTGGCGCCGGTGTTGGCGGCGGGCTGCTGCAGGTGCACGGCGCAGTTGAGGCAGAGCGCGTGCGCGCACGGCAGCAGCACCGGGTTGTTGAACAGCTGCTTGCACACGCCGCACCGCAGCTCGTCCTCCATGGCGGAGGCGGGCCCGGCCGGCTCACGGACACCGGCCCCCGGGGGGCGGCGGCGGCGGCGGCGGCGCGGGGCGAGCGCGAGTACGACGGGGAAGTGCCCGCGGCGGGGCGACGGCGGCGGCAGCGAACGGGGTAGGTGCTCCTCGCGGCGCGGCGGGCGAACGCAGACTGACTTGGCTGCCTGCCTGCCTGCCTGGCTGCGCGGCGCTGGCCTGGCTGCTCGGCCGTGCCGCTGCTGCCCCGCCCCCCTCACCTCCCGCCGACAGCGGCAACGATCGCCGCGACATCTACACGGCACTCTTCCCAACTAAACCCCCACCGGCCGGACAGGCAACCAACAGCCTGCCTCCCGCGCTGCATTCAAATCGGACTCACACACGGCACGGTGCGTGTTTTTCACAGTTTTACCCGTTCCTCCCTATAAATCTGCAGCCATATCAAAGAACATAATCAAGAGCGAGTTTTTAGCAGATGATACCTTACAACCTTACACCTAAATATATCTAAACATAACTATACATGAGTAATGTAAGGTGTCATTGCTTTAACTCTCGATTAAGAAATATTAAAGAGAACGTATAGCAAGCTGCGCTAGGCGGGGCTAGTGGTCCTCCTAGACCACTAGGCGGGGCCGTGGGGCGGCTGGCTGAGGCCGTCGCGTCGCGTCCCTCGCGCTCGCGCTACGCGTTGTTGCGCCGAGCCACTAGCCGAGCCGAGCGGAGCCCGAGCCCCGAGCCGTCGGCCGCGCTAGTCTACGCTAGTCCTCCCCCTCCCTCGCACCGCTGGAGCCCCCGCACCGCCCCCCCCTTCCCTACAAGTGTAAATACAGAAATACAAGGTAGACGCACGTTAAGACCGTGTGAGGCTGAGCTAAATGTGCGTCTACCTTGGCCTGCGGCGCGCTAAAATTAAAACGTTTTCGCGATTTTGTTTGGCATGCCTGTCCACCTTACATCCCACGTCTCACGCCAGGCGCCTCACTTCACGCCGTCTTCCGGGCGGTCTCCCCTTGCACTTCCTGACAGAGCTGAGCATTTAAAGTTAAAGTTTAATTTCAAGTTCAAGTTAAGCTCAGCAAAAAGTTAAAGTTTAATTTCAAGTTCAAGTTAAGCTCAGCAAAAAGTTAAAGTTTAATTTCAAGTTCAAGTTAAGCTCAGCAATAATAGACTGGAAGGGAAT